ACATTTTGGGCTCCAGCCATCACAGGACATTTGATTTGATTCATCCTTTAATGATGGTGCAGCATCGATGCGTTTCAACCCAGATGCACCAACCAGATGCAATAGGGCACCAAGAATTCTGACCATGGTCTTTAAGGTCTTTGTTGTAGGCCACTGGGGGAAAGGACAAACGTCTGCTGTGGAGATTGCCATCCTTGACATGGCAAGAGTGATCTAGTTGGACCTGTGAAGACCCAGCTCCTGGCCTGGACCCTGATGCCTACTGCCCAGGGCTCTTGCTAGGGAGTGAGATGGGGAACAGGGCGCAGCCACGGCCCACGGGCCCTTCTAGGTCTGCAGACAAGGTGGCCCCATGCAGATCCTGTCCCTCACTATTTTCTTTTTTACTCTAGTAAAATACATATAATGTGAAGTTTGCAATTTTAATCATTATAAGTGTACATTAGGCGTACCCAGAGCCGACAGCACCACTGCTGGCTGCACACCTTTCCATCCCCCGGGGAACCTGTGCCCCCAGCTGGAAATCTCGCCATGCCCCTCCCTTCTGGCTCTGACGCCCAGACTGGCCCAGGCTTACTGCTTACCAATCCTGATTTGACCCTAAATCTAATAAGAAGGAGATGGTCCCTGTGTTGCATAACGTTAACACATTCACTTTTCACAGCAATATGAGTGGTCAGTAACGAATTCAAAACAATGACATGCTCGGGTTTACTGAAACCCAGTGACGCCGTGATGGTCTAAAGAAGTGGAAACAGGGTGGTACAGGAGAGGGAGCCAAGTTTAAAGAAACTGCACAAATCTGGTACATTTAGTGTTCACACCTTGAATCTTTCCTAAAGCAGTATTCACATATCATCCTGAGGATTTTGTAGAGCCAAGCAAAATTGTCATTTTCCTTGTGTATGAAAGTACCATACACTCAGCCCATAAAGACCTGTGACCACACAGCTCAAAATCCTACCCCGAATTCCATTTCAGCTCTTCCCTTGGCTCAGCATTGCGTACGGTGGGCCAAGGAAGCCCCCGCTGAGCAGTCCCCAGGCCCCTGAGACGCGCCAGAACGATGCCAAAGGAAACCGGCATCTCTGGACTCGGCCTGTGGTTGTCCAAACAGCAAAGGCAGTGACGGATGCCTCCGGAACCAGTGGCAGGAGCTTTGGGATATCAACTGTCCGCTAGTCTCTGTTCGTGACGTCAATAAACACAAATACCTCTAAAAGGCAGATATGTGTGTGTAAAGAATCGTTTCTTTTGGTCTGCATACTGATTTTGCAAAATATTTCTTGCTATACAAAACCTCATTTCAACATGTGTGTGCTCCGTGAGACATAGGGAAGGAACAGGGATGTCCACGTCCCTTATCTGAGGAAGACACCAAGGTAGGGTAATCCTAGAACAGGGACAGTGCCATAACAGTTAAGTCTCTGACTCGAGGGCCAGGAGGCTGGGGGTGGAGTATGTGGTTCCAGGGTCTAATCCGGCCGATAGGCTGTGTTCTTTGCAAAAGGTTGTGAGGCCTTGGCCTAATAAGCATAATCTCATTACACTGCAAATAAAAGTTTCCTATTTATCTCCAGATTTCAAATGAATCTAATAAGGCTTATGATACAGTCACCCAATACCCTAATCATATTTCTGCCTATCTAAAAGCAATCAGTAATTGTGTTACAGCAGAACGTGCTGACAATACCTCTGACACAGAAAGGAGAATGAGAGCCCAGCTGTACTAATTAAATTAAATGCTAGGCTGATGGAATACATTTGCCGGAGCCGGGAGAGCATGGGTGCAGAATTAATAAGCATTACAGCTTAGAGCGGGAGATGGTATCATAATGGATGTGGGGTTTTGATGTTGAGAGCCCCATTCAGATTCAATGTACCATAATGCACGGCTCTGACAGCTGCCTGGAGAGGTGCAGCGCTTTGAACAAATCGCACAGGAACTTTCCCGCTTGCACGGTCCATGCCCAGGACCACGGTATTTGGCGCTGCCCCTGCAGCCTGCAGCCTCCAGGCCTGGCTGGCGTGGAACTCGTGGGAGCCTGGCTCCCGGTATCTCTGTCCTCAGCCTGGACTGTACCTTAGCTTTCCTTTCACTGTGGCTTGGATGGCTTGGGGAGCACGGCCACACCAGCAGCCCCTCAGCCCTCTTTGAGATTGCATCTCTCTCTGGGCATCTTCCCAGGTTGTCTGGGGAACCCAGGACATGAGGAGCTGCTACCTGGAGTTGCTGGTGCTACGTGTGGGGCCCAGCAAGACCCCTCTCTGCTTGGGCCTGGATGCCTCTGCCAGCGCAGCAAATCCCCGGCTCATAAATTAGCTGCGCTATCTCGCCCACTGCAGCGCAAAGCTGCTGTGCCAGCCCGGCCAGCCAGGATTCATTATCATGAGGATTTTGACAGGATATTAAATTTACTAATCCTGAACTTGCCGGACTGACCCTCCCTGGGAGCAGACAATGCGGATGCCTGCCCAGAGACACTTTCTCTCTTCTTCCTCCCTTCTGTGTTTCTCCAATGGTCCCACACATGCCCTCCCCACCCTTGGGCCTCCTCATATGAACACAGCCTCCCAGGCCACCAGCGTCTACCCACAGCCCATGTCCCTGCTGTGTGCTTCAGTCCCGCAGTTCACAAGTGGCAAAGTGTCCACACCTTCAGAAGCAAAACCTATCGGCTCCCAGCACCATGATGACACCACGTGACCTGTGTTCTTGGGGGGGTGGTGAGACTGAATGTTCTGGTCCTGGGCATCCGACTTGAGCCAAGCCAGCTCTCTGTTACAAGTTAAATCCACATCCACACATGTACACGTCCCAACAAGTCTGCACACTAACACTCTTCACACACATGCACACACACGCATAACTATGCAAGTGCACACCTGCATTCCACACATATGTGCAGATTACTCACACATGTACATACAGGCATATACACAAACATACCACACACTCATATCTACACATGTGCACACATCCACACCTCACTTCCCACACAGATGTACATGTATACATCACACCCAAGCACACACATACATCCACACAGTCAACACACATGTGCATGCACACAGTCACATGGATGCATACACACCCAGGGGTGCATGTGAGTATGCAAAACACTCAACAGTGCACAAGGCACATGCATGCCCGACACACACACAGGTACCCAACACATGTGCATGTGCAGTTCACTGCCAGCTGGGCACCCGGCCCCTCTGCCTTGGTCGCCTTCCACTTAGTCTGGGGACTGTAGCTCCAAGCTGGGCCCCTCTGCGTGATCCACAGAGCCCAGCAGAGCTCTGTGCAGTAGCTGCCCTCACACGCCAGACACGCACATATGTTGTGATAGCAAATGCTACTCTTGTTTATTTCTCTATAAATAAACCCCTGCTCCCTCAGACCCTGTGTGTATTTTTAGAAAGTTCTGGTATCACGGCAGAATGCAGCATCTTGCGCACTCATAGCTTTTTGAGCCTCAGTAAAAACAAAACACACTACACATTTCCCCTGACGTCCTGCCGGTCTGATCTCTAAATAATTCAGCATTAAAATCTGGTCAACTCTCCCACCTCCCAGAAAAACTCCTGCAAACACAGTGCCAATTAAGTTGCTGAAAACAGCAGATTTCCACGGATACTGTACAGATAAAGCTGACCATTAAATCGCAATTTAACATCCCCAGGCAGTGGTGGCTGCTGACAGCTTCCAAAGCTTGTAATCTCATTTAACCCCCTCCTGTCAGGAGCCGGCCCACCCCCTTCGGTAATGCCACCAAATTAGACCCGGCAGGGTGGCGGGAGAAAACGCAGCCTCTTTAGCTAAAAGTCAGGCCGCAGTGGGCAGCCCTGACCTTCAGCGCCCTGCTCGCCGCCTGGGCCTCCAGGGACCCCGGAGACATTTGCCTGAGAGAGGAGGAGAGGCGGCCAAAGGGGAGGTGGGCAGGGGGCCCAGGCCACAAGGCACTTGGATTTCCCTGGGGGCAAATTACAGAGAATTTTCCTAGACAATGGAAGAAAATTTCACCTGGGCTTTTTCAAGTCTTCCTTTGGTAATAAAAGATGAACCCTGATGGTTTTGTTCAAACTACTCTGGCTCAATATTTCCCTTTGCCTGCAGTGCCCTCTGACTCGGAAGCTGGGGGATGCCTCTGTTGGAACACAGAGCCCCCCTCCAGCCCGCAACGCCTGCATTTTAGATGAGGCCTCCTAGCTGGGGACTTTGGGCTTCAAAGCTGCTGTTGCTGGCATTTACGCCACGGCTCCGCTTCCTGAGAGAGCCAGCGGCCTCTGGGATCCCTGGTGACGGTCCTCTGGGTTTCTCTTCCCCAGGTCCACCCATGCGGTTCGGAGTGGGTGTGCAGAGAAGTGGTGAGGGCGTGCAGACCCCTGGGCCCCAGAAGTCCATGGCTCCCACATCAAGATGTTGATCCCTCCAAATGGAGCAGTGCGGCGTGTGGGGCAGCAACCGCAGTGACGCCTGGGCGCCCTCTCATTTAGGAGAATGGTCCTCTTTTGTTATCTTAAAAAATCAGTTCTTCCTAGGTGGAAGCTTCCGAGGCTCTTCTTGAACAAGTGCTTGTGATGCAGAAGTTAGGCACAGGGCCGGGGAGTGTCTGCACCCCTATCTAGCGCATCCAAGAGCCCAAAGAGACCAAGGCCAGCGCCTGCTCAGAGATCCTACCATTCCCTCTGCACTCTCTGTCCTCTCTGTGTTTGAATTTCCAAACCAGGTTGTGATTGCAAGAATCAAAAACTTCTGAACATAAAGTGTAGTTGAGAGAGGGAGAGAGAGAGAGAGAAACAGAGAGAGAGCCCCACAGAGAGGACAGGGAGCACCATCCTCCTCCTCCTCCCTCAGGGACTCACCCCCTCTTTGGGAAGTGGTTCAACACGCTGGGGAGCCTCTTTTAAAGCAGAGAAAGCTCCTGATCCCGCATGGGAGAGGCCTTGTCCCCACAACCTGCCCTGCCCTCGGCCCACAGCCTCCTGCGACTCACCCTTCAGCGTCCTGGGCCGCACAGCGGGAAGGACTCTGCACTCTTCCAGAAGCTGCAGCCCTGCATACGGACTGTCCCCACTGCTGCCACCAAGGCTGGCTCTCTGGGGCCACTGACCCTCTTGAGTTCCGAGCCTCCCCCACCTCTGTGTCTCAAGCCCTTAAACAAAGTTAGCTGGAACTGCCAGCCGGAACCACCTCAGTGTTTATTTCGACTTCCCGGCTGGCTGTGGTGGAGGCAGTCCTGCCTGCTCAGCCTCTCTGGTTTATTTAATTTGTCAGTATAATGGGAGCGGCTGAGTGAGAGACAGAGAATGCAGTGCGGTATAAAAGAAACAAAGGCTAAAAGTACCACCATTTTGATTCCCTTTTAAAAATTACTTCCAAAGTGTGGTATCCATTGTGAAGAACAATGCTGAACCAAGCGCAGGGTCTTGGCAATATTCACGGAGCTTATTCACCCACAGCCGGCCTGCCGTACATTCAGAGCAGGAGACACTTACAAATGATGCATTGGAAGGACTATAGCCCCATTGTGTCCCAGAGTAAACAAAGGCAGACGGGAGCTGACTGGCACATGGGCAGCGAGGCCACGCTGGACCCAACCATTCCTGGCTCCCAGAGGGAAAGCCTGGCTCAGCAGAGCCGGGGGCTGGGCAGGGCTGGGAGGGAAGGCTGGGGGACATCCGCCCTCTCCTCTCCACCATCGCCCCCCCCCCAGCAGGCACCTCAGAAGGGTCAGCAGGAAAGGCCTGGCCAGATGTAGCCACCCCGCTCCCGCAGGGATGGTACAGCCTGGTCCTTCCCGTGATTTCCAGAATCTTCCACCCAAAGGTCACCAGCGTCCCTACAGCGGATTCCATGAGTTTCTGGGAGCTGAGCTGTGGCCTCTAGCACCTGGCCAGGACCAGGTCAGGTTGGGGTCACCGAGGCCACAGTGATCGTGTGGTCTCCCTGACCTGGACACCCTGTCTCTGTCTTGCAGCAGAGGAGCCAAAGCTGCACTGTATAGCTCTCTGGCACAGTTCCTTGTCACTAGTAGGCTTACCAGTGGAGGCCCCTGGGCTGCCGCCTAGGAAAAGGCCCTGTGGTTTGCAAACTGACAACTTGTCTCCTTGCCAAGTTGGGTGATGTGCATATGAGTGCCGATTTATTTTGGCAAAGCATTTGTAGACACTTTCAAAGGCACAGCAAAATGATTTGGTCTTTGTCCATGGACATCTGAGCTTCCCCAACCTGGGCTGATGCCACGTCCACACCAGCCACCTGCACCCCAAGACAGAGACCCTAACAAGGGGAGAACTGAGCCACATGGGAAACAACAGCAAAAAAAGAAGGTGCTCCGGGCTACAGGTGCTCTGACCTCATGGTGACTGAGTGGGTCACGGAAGAAGCACAGCTCTGATGTGTCAGGCTGGGGACAGAGTCTGTGGTCAAAGGGCCATGGGGGGTGCACAGAGCCCTGGCCTGGCTGTTTAGTTCTTGTGGAGGGGCAGCTCCATGAAACTCACTTTGGACAAATGGCCACAGCAAAGCCAAGAGTGAGCAGGGCTCGGGAGGCTCTGGCCCGTCCTTGTACGCTGTGGGCACCTCACTAGTTTATCTACAGTGCCTGGCATCTGGGCTTAGTTTTCATTTCAATTTGACAAATAACATTGCTCGGGCTGAAAAAGCGAGCAGCTCTTTGCTCTTGCTGTGTTAGTGACAGTGCCATGCGCGTCCAATCCTCTCTGCTGGTGACATACTGTGCACGGGAATCAGAGATGAAGCCACGTCTTGGGGTGTCCGGGGTGACATTTCTATCACCTTCACATTCCAGAGCCCTTCTCTCTGTGACCCCAAGAGATATATGGATCCTGTAAAAGCATCACAGTGGCCTTGCTGCTAGGTCTGTATGGCTTAGGTTTTTGTTCTGGGCCATCTATAAAAATCTCTCTTAAAATGATTTATTTCCCATGATGGAAATAGAAACCACCACCAGTACATAGATTCTGAAATTAGGATACCTTGAATGACTTTAAAGCTGACATTTTGATAAATTCTGGAAAGGTCTACACTTACACGTTTATAAGACTTAAGGTTTAGCGAAATGCTCTAAACTACTCCCAGGAGACAAGAAGAAAGTCACACACTGTGTTAGTGCATTGCCAGTAGGAGTGAAATGCAATTGCAGACCGTGTGGCCAGTCCAGGGTCCCGTGCTGGCTGCGGTGAGAGCTGGGAGGCCATCCTTCGCCCTCAGAGACCGGGTGGATGAGTGTTGGTGGCTTGGATGTAGCATCTGTATGGTAACCGACCCTCACTTCAATCAGAGTGTGTTCTGTCTCTGTGGAGCTTAAAGGAGAAAAGATCTAACTTGGCTTACAGCTTCAGAGGACTCAGTCCATGCTCAGCTGTCTCTAAGACATCATGAGGGAAGGGTGTGGGGGAGCAAAGCTAATTAGCTCGCGGCAGCCAGGAGATAACGAGAAGAGACAGCAACCAGCCACAATCCCCACGGTCACACCCCCATGGCCCACTCAGACACATGTGAAGTGAATTTTACTAAACTCCTAGGTATTTCTCAAGCCAATGAAGATGAATCCTCATGGGAGGTAAGCAAGACCCAGTTCCTAACCCAGATGCGTGCTGCCCACCCCTCCGCTGAAGTCCAGACACCTGGAGTTTTCATGAGAGTTACTGGGACATTGTCTCTGTGGCTAAACTGACCAGTGGTGGCTTTATTTGGGAGCCCAGCTGTCTCAGAGGCCACTGAGTCCAGCAGCATCTCCTCACTTAAAGGAGGCCCAGCAGGTGGAGAATGGGTGTCCTGCAGCTACATCTGAGTTTCGGCGTCTCACAGATCAATTGTCCAGTGTGGCCATTTTACGGAGAGAAAAATTTAGGATCTCATTCAAGATTAGTTAGACAAACTGGGGTTAGTTCTTAGGTATCTTAAGCTATTGAGGTATTTAAAATTTTTTTTTTCTTTTTCCTTTTTATCGGTACTGGGGATCGAATTCACGACTGCCTGCTTGCAAGGCAGGCGCTTATGCCGCTGAGCTAAATCCCCAGCCCCGAGGTATTTAAAATTTTGAAAAGTAGTCCTCTAAATCCATGGACTCCTTAGTGGGAGACTCACCAACCATGGAGCAGAAATAGCTGGCCAAATGTCGTCTTTGTGGGCCACATACAGACAGTTATTGGTTCTTCCTGACAATGCAGTGTGACACCTGTGAACGCAGCAGCCACTATGCCTTGGTGTGAGAAGGTGGTACAGAGGTGATGTGGGTGGGAGGGGCATGCATGGGTTACAGGCAAACACACGCTACTTCACATGGGACGTGAGCATCACCTGCAGGTTTTGGCATCTGCAAGGGACCTGGGACTGGTAACCCTTCATCACAGAGGGACCCCTCTACAGCTCCACGAGAACAGCAGCATGTGCACCATGGCATCTGGAATGCAGACTTCCCAGGACACATCCACTACTGCATGCGTGAGGTTCCTGTCTGGTCCCAAGGCTCTGTGCCCCATGGCTGACTGCTGTGGAGGCCTCAGAACTGCCTGCCTGGGCGCAGCCTTCACCGGAGCCTCTTCCATCTGGCCCAGGATGAGCCAGGGCTGTTATCATGTGGCTCACACTAGGGCTCAGTTCTCTGCTGTCCCTGTTGGAGCTCATGGGGCTGTCCTGGTGCGAGGATGCTGGTCACCCATGGGTGGAGACAGGAGGCTCACCACTGGTTCCCTTTCTCACCCTCAGCGGGGATTTATTTCCTGAGCCCCTGGAGAGATCCCAGATGACTGCAGCCCATGAGCTGTGGTTTCTCCACTTGCCTCCTCCTAGTGGAGATGTTGCGGATGGAGCCTGGGCTGGGGAGAGCGGATCATCTGGCTCTCACTGGGAATCAGGGCTGGGGGATTCCATCTCTCTTCCTCCTTCTCCACTTTGAAATGGCCAGGTAGGTACAGGTCCCTCGAATCCACTCACACTATCGACCTCCTCTTATTTCCTGGGAAGCGTCCCAGGGATACTTTACTCCATGGACACCATGGGAAGAGGAACCGGAAGCTCACGTTCCTAGGCCCTCTGAGAGGGTCAGAGTTTGCTTTGCGAGGGAACCTGCTGAAGGTCTCAGAGGCCCTGTCACCCACAGCTCCCTGAGCATTTTGTCCCTGCTAGGCAGAGGATGGGAGGAGCCCAAAACCCATTCCACTCACTTTTACCTGCAGCATCGGAGAACCCGAATATTTGCAGTGAATACACGTGAGGGAGGAATTTAGCTTTCATAGTTCCAACCTGGAAAGGCCTTCAGGAGCTCAAATAGCTCGATTGTTTCATGCTGTATTTCTTAAATTTCATTCCCCATTATTGAGTCCTGAGATGCTTCGATTTTCAAATGAGGACTCCGGTTTCCCCAGGAAGAGCAGCCAAAGGAGAAGGAGAAATTCACACAGCAGCAGCCGGCTGCCGGCTCCACAGGATTAAACAGCAAACCCATTAGAAAAATCAGTTTTCCAGTCTTTTCTTTTCCAGCTCCGCTTTCTCCTTTCCATTTTTTCATATGCTTTAAAATTCCTCGCAGTCCTCCTTCCTAGCTGCACAATATCAAAAGCGCTCTGTTCTAATCCTCTCCTCGGCTGCCTCAATTAATCACTTCTTTATTGCAGGACTTGGCGTCCTGCCCTCGTGCCCACCCATCCCGCTCTTCTCCCTGCCTCTGTGGAGCCTGGGTGTCCCCTTTCTCTTCTTCCTCTCACCCTTCTCATTTGCTCTTCTCATTTTAAACCCTCTCCATTTCATTTGCCTCCTCTCTCAAGCCTCACTCTTTGTGCAGAGCGCTCTCCTTTCTGCAGGAGCAATGACTGCCATGGCACCCATCTGCACCCGGAGTACCGGGCACTGTGAACCCCTGTGGAAGCCTTCAGAGCTCTGGCCGTGGAGCTGCCAATAGCCCCCTTACGAAGGGAGAAAGGTGGCCGCAGCCTTGATAGCCAGCCACGATGCTGGGCAGAGAACAGAGGCAAGGTGCTGCCAGGCTGACTCCAGCTGAGTCCAGTCTGCAAACCTGGCCATGTCCCTCCCGTGGCCAGTGCAGACAGTGCCCTGAGACCTCCACCCCAACTCCAGCACTGTGCTGTACTCAGGGGTGACTGCCTGCTCCAGGAAGGACAGCTCTCCCCACCTCATCTAATTGTCATGAGGGTCTCCGAGCTATGGCCTGAGGACAAGAAGTTCGCCAAAAGGACCTGGTCAGGGGCACTCATGCCACCCACAGAGCAGCTCCTCAGAGAGTGTCAGGCTTGCTCAGTGACAAACTCTGCTTTTAGGGGAGCAGTTGATAGTCGCAGTGCCCCACAAAATGTTTGTAGGTGTAAAGCAATTGATTCTAATGCACATTAATTGAGGGTTTGTGATTTGTATTTTTTTCCAAGGCTCTATTTAGAAACTAACCTCCTGGCTTATTATATAGCCAAGAAGATTTGTGATACC